ATATTCATAGTCCAGTACTGGAAACATTGTTACTTTTTTTAAAAACCACTTCCTTGTGATGATAGACTGATATGCAATTTCTCCAATTATGAGAAAGAGGCATATTGAATGGTAATGTGATTTTTTGAAAGCAAAGTTATAAAACAGCAAGAAAACTAATACATTGCTGATTTTATATTAAATATCACCTTCTGCCTATGTAAGGACAGACTAGTATCTACATGTATTTTATGCATTCATGACATACCTTTTTCTCAAGTTTTTCAATATTTCTAGGCTAAGGAGTTCATCTGCAAGTTTTTTCAAAATGTTGCAGATCTCAAAATATTTTCCAATATATTTATTGAAAAAAAAAGGTGAGTGGACCCACACAATTCAAACCTATATTGTTCAAAGGTCAACAGTATATAATGCATTTAACATACCACTCTTAGCTCTTAGGTAGAGATGTTAATACATGTGGAACTGGCCAAAAAAAACAGGCTGTCAGTTATAGGAGCAAAGGCCAAGAACCTGCAGAAGACAGCTTCAGACTAGATGGTCAGCTTCTAATCCATAACTGCCTATCATATTTGACACTAATGAATGTCTAGTGAGTGGGTAAACTGGAGATGGCTGAAAATGAATATAGTCATCAAATAATTTTAAGTAAATAAGTGACATGATAAAAAGTTGAGAAATAGAACTGGTTTCAATGTGAAGCATTAGTGAAACCAATTTAAAAGGCTGTTGCCTGACTCTAAGAAAAAGATGAGAAGGGACTGAGCAGGACCAAGGAGAGGCAAGATTTCAAAGATATCATGGACGTATAATTGATAGGACTTGACGCTCAAATGAATGTAGACCTTGAAGAAGAAGAGTCTCAAGTTGACTCCATTTTCTGGTTTGGGTGGCTTAGTGGTGATGCTCTTAATCAAGACAAGACTTTAAATAGGAAAAACAGGTTTTGAAGAGAATGCAGCAAGTTCAGTTTTAATAGGTGTGTTTGAAGGGCCAGGAGGACCCCACAGATGGATGAGACTAGTGAGTAGTTGGGAATGTAGTTCTGGAGCTCAGGTGAGATGTCCACGCTAGAGAAAGAGGATGGGCATCATCAGAGTCTAGTTTATTTTAAGATGAGATATCTCATTATGCTTGTGCAGAGTAAAAAGAACAAGAACCGCAGTCTGAATTCTAAAAAATATCAATAGTTAAGGTGCAAGTATTGCTTGGTGACAGGAAGGAGATAGTGTTTAGAGAGATGAGAGAATTCATCACCTTGAATGCCGAAGACCAGAAGAGTTTCAAGGAAGGTGAGTGCCAATTAGGCCCATTGCTACAAATAGGTCTTTGCTAGAAAGATACTATGGAATTTGGTGATTAAAAACTCATTGGTCAAAACTGGAAAGAGCCCAGTGTCCATGGGGTAAACCCATGGACACTTCATACCATAGAATACTACTCAGTAATTAAAAGGAATGATTATTGCTATACACAACACAAATTAATGTCAAAAACATTGTGATGAATGAAAAAAGCCAGACACACACAGAATACATACTGTATGATCCCATTTATATGATGATTCGGAGTGGCGGGAGGGGATGTGGTGGTAGGGAAAACTGACAGTAAAGGAGCACAGGAGGACTTTCTGATGTCAAGAAATGTTCTTTATCTTGTTCGAGGGTAGTTACAATTGCCAAAACTCATTGAACTGAAAACTTAAGATCTATGTATAACCAGAATACAAAAAAAAAGTCATTGGTCAAAGATGGGAGGTTTTGCAACTGAATTTGCTGCTTCTAAATTTCCACTAATTTACAGAGAAATATTCCTTTATGAAAGCAAATGTCCATACAGAGAGAGAGAAATCACAGTTACCAAATTTTCAAAGCAGAAAAACAAAAATATGTGGTAGAGGATTTGACAAGCCCAAGAAACAAAATCTAAATGGTCAGTGGACAAAGTCATAAAATAACTCAGTTTTCACTACAGAAATCCTAAAAATCCAAAATGTGAAGTGAGATTGAAGGTGAGTCAAAAAGAAGAGGGTTGGGACTTCCCTGGTGGCGCACTGATTAAGAATCTGCCTGCCAGTGCAGGGGACAAGGGTTCGAGCCCTGGTCCGGGAAGATCCCACATGCTGCGGAGCAACTAAGCCTGTGTGCCACAACTACTGAGCCTGCGCTCTAGAGCCTGTGAGCCACAACTGCTGAGCCCAGGTGCTGCAACTACTGAAGCCCGCATGCTTAGAGCCCATGCTCCACAACAGGAGAAGCCACCGCAATGAGAAGCCCGCGCACCACAACGAAGAGTGGCCCCGCTCCCCGCAACTAGAGAAAGCGCGCATGCAGCAACGAAGACCCAACGCAGCCAAAAATAAAAATAAAATAAAATTTTAAAAATTTATACAAAAAAAAGAAGAGGGTTGTTTGAAATTCTATTTTATTTTTTAAAATATTTATTTATTTATTATTTATTTTTGGCTGCACCGGGTCTTAGTTGTGGCTCGCAGGATCTTCATTGCGACACGCAGGATCTTTTGTTGCAGCGTGCCAACTCTTAGTTGTGGCATGAGGGCTCTTAGTTACAGCATGCAGACTCCTTAGTTGTGGCGTGCGATTCTTAGTTGCAACATGTGGACTCTTAGTTGTGGCATGCATGTGGGATCTAGTTCCCTGACCAGGGATCGAACCCAGGCCCCCTGCTTTGGGAGCGCGGAGTCTTACCCACTGAACCACCAGGGAAGTCCCGAAATTCTATTTTAAAGTAGGTAGAGCCGTTGATCCACTCCGCAAGCTAAATCTTGCTGACTTCTCTCCCTAACCATCAGCACAAGACTGGAAGTTTATTCTCTGGAGAGGCTGGACTGAGGGACATCAGACACTGCTGAAAATGGAATACTCTATTGAAAATGGGGGCTCCATTGACAGTCTACCTATATTCCAAACATTGAGACCCCCGGGCCTCTTTTGTAACTCAGCTCCAGAGCACTGGAAAACACACTCAAGAAGAATCTGAGTTCTGAGAAATCTAATCAGCCCATGATTTAAAAAGAAAAAATATATATATATATAGCAACCCCAACTAGAACAGGTCAGAAGCCTCTGAGAAAGACATCTCCAAGGAAATTAGATAGACTGATATATTTTAACATATTTAGATAATTAGGGAAGTGTCTGAGTTTGAATTTAAGGATAAGTACACAGAAAACTGAGGAAACAAATAAGATGCTTATTAACTCCTGGGATAATGAAAAGTTTAGAATGAAAGGAAGAGTAATCAGAGCATGATATACATGTGAATAGCATTTACATGGTCATAATAAAATAAACACTAAATATTGATTTATCAAAAAATTACAAAATTATGACAACTATATAAGAGGCAGAGGGTACAAATGTGCATGTAGGAGGATGAGGGGGGAATGCATAGTAAAAAAAACTTTATCTTTCATAGAACAACGTCAATAGATAATGGCTTAAACTGAAAAATGAAGAAGTAACAGCATATACATATTGCTGGAAGTAAACACCAAAAGAAACACTTTAAAAAGTTGCCTCCAAAGACTGGTAAATGGAAAAGGACATGAGGGGTAATGTTTGACTCCTTAAACCATATGCTATAATTAAAAAAAAAATCAAATAAAACAAAATAATAAAGGCATTTGCAAAGAGAATTTCATGAAATTAGATTGCAGTGGGTTGAAGAGTGAATGAAAATTAAGGATGTTCTCAGCAAACTGAATAATATAAGGAAGGGGATGTCAGGATGGTGAGTAGAGTTGCTTGATGGAAAGATAAGATTGAAGGAAAATTGGTAGTTTGCTTGATTATGGTTATTTAGGTTGCTAACTAATTGGTTAGTCAATTTGTTCATGACAGGGATGAGCTTGGAGAAAAAAACAGTGAAGAGTCTGCTGAGGTGAGAGGGAATAAATGAGGTGTGAAAGTCCCACATGAAGTGGTGGATGTTGAAATCAGACACGTGATAAAGTGTTAGCTTTGAAAAAGAATAGGAGCATCTCTTTTATATGATGAAGGAAAGAATTGTTAAAAGAATTAGTGACTTAAGCTGTATTTTCTCACTGGCAGTCGTGGCTAAGTCATCTGTTGAGGGATTCAGATAGTTTTCATTCTCTGAGAATGGATGCTGACCAGAGACAAAAAATGAAATAAATGCTGGGTAGCAATTTGATGAGCCCAGCTGAGGGAGAATTTCAAAATGTATATATTAGTCAGCACGGGCTGCCATAACAAAATACCACAGACTGGGTGTCTTAAACAACAGAGGTTTATCTTCTCACAGTTCTGGAGGCTGGAAAGTCCAAGATCAAGGCGCCAACAGGGTTTGGTTCCTGGTAAGGACTTTCCTCCTGGCTTGCAGACAGCCACCTTCTTGCCCTGTCCTCCCGTGGCGGATTGAGAGAGAGGGAGGGAGCGCTCTGGTGTCTCTTCCTTTACAGACGTTAATCTTGTTGGATCAGGGCTCTACCCTATGACTTCATTTAACCTTTATTACTTCTTACTCCAAATACAATCCATTGGGATTTAGGGCTTCAGTGTATGAGTTTGAGGAGGACACAGTTCAGTCCATGGCATGTGTAATTCAGCACTATTACACAAGAGCAGAAGAGAAGACAGATGGTTGAGTTGATCCAAGTTTGGGGAATTAGTAGGATAGACTGGATGGAAGGTCAAGGTGGCAGACGAATTGAGGGACTGGTGAAAGTATGGCTAAAACTAAGTGCTCACGGCTTCCAAGAATAGTGGAAAGAGAAGCCAGGAAAGGGAAGGGGCAGGGATTGGTAGGCTTCATGGAAGGTCCTCTCAGGTCTGGAGGCTGGAGAACAAATGGGAACTCTTTTACTGTGTACCTTCTCTGGGTACAGTCCTTTCTTCGGACATGATTGGTTGCTTCTGCACTTTCAACTTCACTGGCAATCAATGAGAATTATCAAACTGGAAGGAAGATTTAGGTTCATTAGTGGTAGCAATCATCACATTTTTCTTTCTTTTTAGACGACTGAATACCTTGAACAAGTGTGCCTCAATGAAACTTGATGTGAACTTCCAAAGGAAAAAGGTAGGTAAGCTCTTACTACACCTTACTGAGACCATGGCTATACCAATAGGAGAAGCTTGCATTCACAAATGAAAAACAACACGAACTGAAGCAAAATTCTGAAATGCCCGACCATCAGTGTTTGTTCTCCAAATATCCCATTATATCATAAACATCATAAGTAAGTCTGTTATATATCTAGGCTGACGTCTGTTTGTTTCACTGTTTCATTTTGATTTAGTTTTATCAGAGGGTTTGCATAAAAATGTAAAATGCCTTAATTGTTTATGATAATCTTTCAGAAGTTTTAGTTGTAAATATCCACTCCATATTAGACCCAAATTCTCCACAGTGATTCGTAGATTAAGAGAATGCAGAAAAGAATCTATGGGGCCAAGTGTCTTCTGCCTCATTCTTTCCTGTGGCATTTTATTTTCAAGGGCAGTCAAGATGCATTCATTTGTCAGGCAGGTTTGTTTCATCATGGTTGAGGGGTGGGGGGAGAGTGTAACAGCAAGATTCAGAACCTGCCCCATCTCTCCATTCTCGCCCCTTGCACTTTTCTCTGGTCACAGGGAATGTCCTTCAGTTTTACGAGCCACTATGCTCCCTCCCTCTTCTAGGACTTTGCACGTGCTCTTCCCTCTGTAGGAATAAGACAGGAGATTTTGGTTCTGAAACAAAGCTGTACTTTATTGAGCACTTACTGTTTTCCACGAGCTATGTTATGGCATTTAATCCATTGTGATAGGGATTCTCTGTTTTCTAGAGAAGGAAAATAAAACCTGAACAGGTTGAGTCCCTTGCCCGTGATCTTTCAACCAGTGGAGGAGCAGGGTTTCAATTTCAGGTGTGTCTAACTCCAAAACCGAGGCCCCTAACCACTGCGCTGAAAGACCTCTCTTTCTCACTGAATTGATCCTTTTAGGAAACTCAGAATTGAAATCGTTACTTACTTTTTCATTTCACATCTTCAGTATGTAACAAGTCAAGCCTTAGTATATTTTGAAGAAGCAGAGAAAACATCTTTGAGTCAAAAGAAAGTGTTCTTTATTCTGGTCTATACAGAGAAGTCATTACAGCCCATGGATTTTAAGTCACTCCTGAGTAACCTAATCTTTAAAAATAACTTTAACCTGAATTTCTGCTCTAAAACAGCACCCAAAAAAAGCGCAAATGAATTCTGGTTGACCTCACCTTCAAAACAGTTTAGGGTTTGAGCTGGGAGCCAAAGATTTAAGCTAAGGAGGTAAAATGGTGAAAAACAATATCCAGAGAATATATTAAAACATGAGCAATTTGTCCAGGTCAAAGAAAAATTGTAAATGTGGGAATAAACATCCCAACAGCTATCTGGCTGAATAGACCCCTTGAGAAGCATACACACTGTTTGCTTGTAACGCATGGTTCTTATTAAACCGAGCGTAGCCATGCCTGTGTGGCTGGTCTGTACACTGCCGGTGCAGATCCTTAGCTGCTGTGTATCACAAAAGCAAATGCCAAAAACTAACAACAGGATTTGTTTTCAACCAAGTGGTGTGATTGGATTCTTCCCTTATTGCCGGCATTTCAAAACCCACATGTGAGATAGGCTTGAATAACATTTGTTAGACTCTGTTACCTTCACAAAAGCTCCTCTGTAAATTGGTCACTTCAGTATTCTGACATTCTTAATTTATTCCTTATGTTGGATATAGTGGCACACACTCTTACAGCCCCTACTTAGCTGTAGGCCCCGCAGATGCATGCACTTGAATAAAACATTGCTTTCCACATTGTAAACTGGGGACTCATGGCCTGAATTTTGAAATAAATAAATCCAGTGGGTGATCTCCACCCACCTGTGAATCTCAATCATGACCAGCATCTGTGACTGTGGTCTAAGCAACTATGCAGGAGACCCTGGTGGTGGCACGTGTTCCCATGATCTGTCCCTTGCCCGAGTCATAGGCTAGTCCTTTATTTTACTGCAAAAAAATGCCAAAAATAAATACAGGCTAGGACTAGGCCAAATGATCAAAAATAGAAAATGAAACTCACGAACCAAGCACCACAGGGAGCTTCAACCAACTTTGGAATTAGTTTGTTTGGAAGAAGAAAAAAAAAAGACAGTAGCATTTCCTCTGGGTATGTCCTCATTTTAATCAATCCAAGAAATAGAAATATAATGTTCATCTCTAATCTGCAGAGGCCCAGACATGTTTAATGCTGCAGAATGTCATCCCCAAATGGCTTAGCCGTCCAGGGCCACAGTCATTCTTCTCCCTTCAGGACCATTGGGCCTCAGAAGGGCCGTGTGTGCTTGCTCAGTGCTCTGTGGTGTGGTTAACGAGCTCCCACGGTGCCCGCTCTGTGCCAGGCACTATTCCTCATCACTAACCCCGTGTCACAGATGCAGAGGTTGAAGGGCAGGGAAGATGAGTAACTTGCCCAGAGCCACGAAGAAACAGCAGAGGCAGGATCTGAGCCCAGCTATTCTGGCCGCAAACTGCCCCTCCTGGCCTTTCAGAGATATTCAGAAATGTATTGGCATGAGCTTCTGACCCTTGGCCTGAGACCTCGAAGGCTTTCCTCAGCAATACATACAATTATGTATTTTTATTGTTGTTTTAGAAGAAGGATATTTCTTGCTGTCTTGTACTCAAGTCCATGATTTATTTAATGTCTTCATGGAAATTTATCTCTGGATCTCTCATAGTGAATGAGTCATGAATCTCATTGCTCTGCTTTGAACTTGGTTCTCATTTAATTCTGTTTAATTCTGAAGAGTTTAGTGGTTGACCCAAGGCAGAAAAAAAAAAAAAAAAAAGAGAATCCACAAATACATAAAGATGGTGAAGCCTCATTCATACTTAGTTAGGCATGCACTTTTCCTGTACATCAAATGCCACTCGCTTGTAAAGCACCAGGAGAAATGAAATCGCACCTTACCACTTTGCAGAAGAGAGAAGCAGTCCTCTAAAGATCGAGATTACCTTCCCTGTGAGAGTCAGGTGGAGAAGAGTGTCCTCAGTCTTGGCCAGGCTCCTCACTGAAAGACTCACTAAAACCCGGCATTTCTGAGAGCCTGGGGGACGTCAGCAGTTGTCCGCCTCAGGCCTCAGCCTCCTCCCCCTGCAGCGCTGCAAGTGGCAGGTCCCTGCTTCTGAACTGGAGGGCTCAGCCACTCAGCTCCAGTCAACTTTAGTGTAAGATAAACGTCTAAATTTCTGTGTAACTATGCATTAGCCGCCTCTCACGGCTGTGGACTTGTATGGGCTCCTGTTTCCAGCGGAAAGAGATGGTCAAATTTTGTTTAAAAAATACAAAATCCTTTCTTTTGCAGTGTCTGGTTGGCATTTGTCTCTGAAGCATATATAATTTCAGCTAAGAATGTTCTCATTTTTTAGAAAAAGCCAAACACTGGCATTTCATCTAAATTAAAAACCCCAAGGCACTTGCAAAGCTGATCTTTCTCAGAAAAGTGTTTTTCTTCATTATTACCTACAGAATTCACACTTGCTTTATGACGACACTGAAATCCCCTAATTACGGTTAGCGTTTATGTGATAGTGCTTAGCTCTGAGTACAAAGCTAAAGTCAGAGACTGAACTCCCATAAGGATCTCTGTTAGATGAGGAAAGAGAGGGACGCGCACGAACACAGGACTCTTACCTAAGATTTCCCAGGGGAGAAAGAGCAGCTTCAAAAGAAGTTTCTGGTTAAAGTTATAGTTTTAACAAAGCTCTCTGAAATCATAGCCAAAGGTGGAAAGCCACACAGAAACAATGACTAATTGCCACGTTGCAGCCAGCACCTCCCGGCCTGGATGCCGTGGGCATTTCAAAGGAGCTGCGGGTGTCATCAGGGAGCCTGACCTCTGCCTCCCAATCCACCCCACCGCCCCCCCTGCCTTTCACAACCTCAAATCTCCCACCAAATAAGACACCTCCTGGCAGCTCCGAACAGCAGCGTCACATGAAAGAAGTTACATTTCATTCCATCATTCGCTTGGCTGGAGAGTATACAGTCTTGAATTGAAGACTGTTGCACGTGAATGTCCTAGAACCATAGGATCTTTGAGTTAGATCTTCGCTCATCTTTTCTAGTCTCCCATCCAGTACAGGATATACTTTTACAGCATCTATCACAATTCACTCAGGCTCTGTTTGTAAGCATCTAGATGTGATGAGTTCATTATATTGCAAGGCAGTTTGGTTTTTCCTAATTACCAGAAGTCCTCCATATAATACGCTAAAAGCTGATTCTATGTAAATTTGCCCATCTGATTCCAGCTGTTTTCTCTGGAGAAGCACAGAATACGGATTTCCCCTTCCTCTAGATCCGGGGTCAGCAAACTAGTGCTCCTGCTTTTGTAAAGAAAGTTGTATTGGAACAAAGCCACACCCATTCTTTTGGCTGCAGAGGCAGAGTTGAGTAGCTGTGACAGACTGGATGGCCTGTAAATCTAAAATATTTACTATCTGACCCTTTACAGAAAGTTTTCTGACCTTTGCTCAATCTAGAACAAAGTCTCTTAAACTGTCTATGGTGACTGATTTTTCTTTTTTTAATTTCCAGTCTGCCACTGACCAAGATAACGTTTGTAAAATTCACTACAAAGGAATTATTAGAAATATGAAATGATAAAAGGTTATAGAAAATACAAGCCTAAATGTTTTATTATACTCTACAGATACAAAATTGCATCCCAATAAATATAATTGGAACAAATATAACAGGAAATAGAAAAGAATTACAAAAATTATTCATATTTTTATTAAAAGTATACTTAGGCTATTAATATGAAGAATCATGATTGCACTTATAACTTTTTTTGTTGTTCAGCTGTCAGAACTAAACAAAAAGTTTACTTTGAAATTCCCCATGTTAAATGTCTGTACGCACATTTCAATCAAACACTATGACTATAAGTATTCCTGACAGTGAGTTTTTTGCTTGTTATCTAATTTAGGTTGGATTGACAGCAACACTACTCACAGGGAAAAATGCATATCTAAAATGTTTCTTTGTTTTTTGTT